GGCTAAGCCGGAGCCGACCCACACCAGACACCTGGGCAGTGATGGCCCTCCCTCTTCCTCTCCCTGCTGGGAGTGGACTTCTGCCGGAGGAAGTTTTTGCTTATTTATTATGCGCCATGCAGGGTCCGGTGCAGCTGAGGAGGCGGTATCTGGTTCTCAGCTTCCCGGGTTCACCAGTAATCTGCCTGGGCTCCAGATGAACTGGGGAAGCTGAGTCGCAGATACCGCTTCCTCAGCCGCCCTGGAACCTGCATGCGGCATATAAAAACTCATCAGCAGCGTTCTCCACCCCGCCCGCTGCTGCCTGGCTACTCCTCTCTCTCCACCCCCCTCTCTGGAGGTACTTGCTGCCGCTCGCTGGTTCCCCGCTTGGCCCCCACTGCTGCTTGCTGGTTCCTCCTCTCCAGGAGAGGAGGGACAGGAAGCTCAGAGCAGGTGGGGGCAGGGAGGCCATTGGGAGAGTGAAAGGACCAGCAAGTGGTGGCGGGGGGCTGAGAGAAGAGGGACGCACATGGAGAGTGGGGAGGGGAAGGGGCTGGGGTGCAGTGGGGGTGGGGGGAAGAGATGGGATGGGGAGCTAGCCTCCCCGAGAGGAAGCTTCTCCCGCCGCCCATGGGAGGATTCCTGCAGTGCAGGCACTGCATAGGACACCTATAGGCTGTCCTCTGAGGACTCACTCACAAGCCCTAGTGGGAACAGGAGGGGTTTGTTGGGGACTGGGGTGGTGCCACGGCGCACAGTGCTGCAGAGATTCTGGGCTGTGCTGCTGCCTTTAGGCACCCAGGCAAAGGCTGCCATAACTAAAGGCAGAAACCCTCACTCCCATTATGGAACAAGAGCGCTGACTAGTGCAACATGAGCAGCTTAAATTCCCACCTTGCCTTACACTGGTGTAACTTTTCCCTGCAGACAAGCCCTGAGTTACAGCAGGGGCTGCTTTGACATCCACCGCACCCAGGGTCAGGGGGATCCAGGGGGTCTTAAAGCTGCCTGAGCCCAACGTGCCCCTGGGCTGCAGGTTCCGAGCACAGAATCTCACCCTGAGAGTTTAGATCATGGAACACAATTATGTGGCAATTCTGTAACTAGAGGGTTGCACAAATCATTGCTTACACAGGGCCAGTGGTACATCCAGCAGGGCTCCTCAACCCCTTCCCCCACTTTCAACAGGGGCGCTCCCCCTTCCCCCTGGCCATAACCCTACTGGTTTTCATGAAAAGCAGAAACATGGAAAAAATAATTTCCACTAAAATCAGGCTTTTCTGATTGTCACCCAAATCAATAGGGTTCTGACCAGAGTAGGACGGTGGGGGCCTGGCTGAAGCACAAGGGTGAGTAGCCCAGCTGGGGGGTGACTGGAGTGGGGTGAGGGCCTGCTAACCCTGACTCTAACCTCACCCTCACCTTAAACCCTAACCCTGAGGTCACTGCCTCACCCTGATCCCGAGGGATCAAATGGAGATTTCAGTGGAAATCAGACTTATATAGTTCTACAGTTTTCAGCAAAATCACGGGGTTTCTGCCCACTGATGCCTAGAACATGCCCTGAAACGCTGGAGCAGATGGGACGTAGTTTTCAAAAGTTATCCCGTTACAGACAGACAAACACCATTGAGGGTCAGTGTGGGGCCTTGCTTCACTCAGCCAAAAGAGAAAGCAGCCAGTCACTCAGTGTTTTAACTGCGCTAGGCATTGTGTCCCCAGTATAACGCTGGCAGTGGGAATAGCTCAGCAGAGCACCCCTGTGTGTGTGCTACTTTCTACCAGTAGAAAAGCTACTCCTATGAGATTGCAATAGTTGAGTTAAATCTTCTGCCTTGTAACACCCCTCTCCTGTTGTTCACTTCCAGCGGCACATCGTGCAGAGAAAGGTAAGCTCCCTTTGTTCATTGCAATGGGAGGGGAGGGGGAATCTGAGACTTTACAGCAAGTTTCATAGACCTCTGGGGCAGGTGTTGAAAGCTCTCACTCTGAACAGAAAGTCAGTTTGGTTTGTGGTGCACAGAGAAGCTCTGCCCCTTGTCCCTCACACTAGGACATGGGATGAACAGACCCAACCCCACTCACTGAACTCACAGGGGATTTGTTGCTCCCACACAGCCGGGGAAGGGAGCAGGTTTGGGCTCACTCTGCTGTCTGTGTAGCCAGCACTGTGCCCAGGCTGTGCGCTGGCTGTGGTAGTTCACACCCTGGTGTGACTGGACGTGTGTTTTTATGGTGGCTTTTCCCTCCCGCAGGTGGAATCCCCACCTCAGACAGTCCATCTTCCACACGATGGTCCTATACCTCTGCACCCACCGCAGCGCTGTCCTTGTCTCCAGCCGGCTGGCGTAGCTCGCTGCCCAGCGGCTCTGTTTTGTGGAGACGCTGCGCCTGCTCTCTCTGGCATAATTTCATCTCTTTCTACAAGACCTCTGGACTCTCCTGCTTCGTATGCGTCTCAGAGCCGGGCTTCGTTCCACACTCAATCTTAAGCTGGTTCTGGAGCTCAGTCAGCTCTTTCTGCAACAACAAACACTGCTGTCCCCAGGTCACCTTCCAGTGCTGAGACGGGCCAGTTCCTGCTCCGCTGGATGGCTTGGACTGAGATCCAGTCCCTTGTCAGCGCATCTCCTCTAGTCCCTGCCGGGGCTCAGCCTTTGGGCCTGGGGGTGTTCAGCTGTGCAAGGCCTTCTGCCCTGCTCCCCTCGGCTGCAGCAACCTTTTCTTCTCGCTCTCTCCAGGCCATTCGTGGGTGAGTTTGTTGGGTCCCTGTAGAGGACACAGCCACTAGGGCAGCTTCCCTTATAGCCAGCACCTCTGTATCTGTGCCCATCGACATCCAGCCCTTCAGTGGGTGATCAGCTTGTTCCCCTAAAAAGCCTCCCAGGACACCCCCTGCATCACTCCCCTCCCCTGTGTAAATGCAGCCTCCTGGTGATGTATTGCTGGGCTCTCTCTCTTATCGCACTCACCAGAGCCCTCAGCCTGCACCTCGGTCCCCTCCTGAGCCATCAGCTTTAGTCTGTCTAGTTCTGTAACTAGTTCCAGGAGCTGTTCCTTCTCCTGTCATAGGAAACGTCTACATTT